GTCAGTTCACCCCTGTGCTAAGCTAGCCATGTGGGCATGACTGCTACACCCTGGATTCAGCCTCTACTGCACTGCATTGCCAAGGCCAAATTAGTTCACAGGGATGCTGTGCATGTGGCCAACATGGAAAGGGCTGCCATGCCTGGCAATGAGCATGAAATAGAGCATTAGGGTCAGCACCTTGAAGACCTACCAAATCTGGCCTCTGTTGCTTGAGGTCCTCATATCCACTTGTAGGTGAAAGGGATGTGGAGAAAATAAGTGTCTTGATGGCAGGCCACTTTAAGGGCAGAGATGGGAAACTGGCTTTAGCCTGGGGAAAGGGATGAATTTCAACGTGCCCAAAGTTTCAGGGGCTACATTCTAAAAATGCATGGAGCCAGATGAAATTATTACCAATGTGGACACTTCCCCATGAAACATCTAAAGCAGAACTCAGTTCTGTGTAGGTCTACTCAGAGTAGGGTCCAGCCGCTAATTTCTGTACAACAGTTTTCTTGGGTTTGAATGGCCTTTTATCTCTGGTCCAGGAAAACTATAGGGCAGGATGAGGACTGTCTTCACCCTGGGCCTGGAGAGGCTGGATCAGTATTTTAATTCCTAAACTAACTTCTACTCATAAGGGAATAATGTTGATATGAGTTAATTATAAAGAATAGTAGAGCACAAGTTCATCTAATATTAAGTGTTTCAAATGTTTGCATCATGTGAAAATAAATTAACAACTTAATTTTGGTTATTGGCAAACATGTTAGTACAATTAAACCGAAATTGTAATGTTACCCTCACTGCATATTTTTTAAACTATGTTACAGAATGTAGCGACAATGGCCCTTAAGCCTTTTAGAGCTGTACAAAAAGAAAAGGACAGTTCTTGGGTCCTTTCAGAATGGCCTTTGATAGCCATTTTGAACAAGAGTCAGTCATAATGGTATTGAATTGCATTCTGAAATCTTTAGTATGTAGTGGCTGTTTGGTTTGTTTGATCACCTTGTAAGTTTCATTGATAGAATCATACTTCATTGAAATCATATTTATTTCTAGTTTCTTTGACCATATGTTTTCTTTCTTTTCACTCTATTAACTTTTTATGAGCAGTTCTGTGGAAGTTGTGACTAATCTGTTGCCTGCCCTTGAGGCAGGGAAGAGAAGGTAGAGAACACCTGAGGCACCCTTAACCATACCTACCCTTCCCCTATGTGCCCTTTTCTGTCTGCATAATGATGGGAAATGAAAAAGAAAGGCCCTGAGCTATACATTTTTCTGCAGAGTAGGCAGCAGGGCAGGAATTCCAGTCCAAGTGACTGTTCATGAAAGGAATCCAGTGCTTCAGTGAGCATTTCTGCCTGGCCGCTGGTATTTGTTACGTGACTCCAGGCTGCTGCTGCAGTTGCAGGCGTCAGGTACAATATGTACCTTTATATTGCTTTACTTTGGAAGGAGGGAGCCTCTTAAGGACGGATGGGAATGCATAGCTGAAATTGAGGTGAATGGTGAACTCTTTTCATCGGTCATATGATCATGTGACTTTTTCCTCTTGCAGAAGGCATGAACAACAAAGTTGTAGAAGGAATTCATAATCCTTGCTGTTCCTCAGTTTCATTTCATAGCTGTCTTGTACTGAGCTTAAAATTAGCTGTGAAATCATCTGGTTCTTTTCTCCCCCCACCTCTTCAAACCTGGATGTTTTTGAAATAAAAATTTGCTTCATATAAAACTCCTGAGTTACCAAGGCAATCAAACTTGATATTGCTTTGTGTGGCTTTCTGCTTGCTTTTTAAATGTTTTCTGAGCACAGAAAAGCAAAAAGTAATATGTGAATTTTCAGAATCCTATTCTGTCCTGTCCTGTGTTAGTTTATTCTTTGGCAGGTCTCTCACCTAGAACTTGTTAATCTTACCCTAGAGACCATGATTACAAGTATATTGAAAATGTATACATGAAAGCTTTTTGATACATCTATCGTATATTGCAGAATAGAAAGCCATTGTGTTGTTGAAGCATAAATACATAACAGCTGCCAATTTAGTGAATTTAAATGCTGGGAAATCCTTTGTGTCTTCAAATTAATGTGCCATCCACCCAGCAATGAGGGATTACTTAAAATATGCCGGTATACTATAATTGTTGTAGAAACATTAGTGTTTACTGAGTAAAATGTACAATATATGGATGTTGCATGTGAATGTGCAGGTACTTTAAATGTCTGTATATATCTGAGGGAGACCAAGTTTATTGGATTTTATCACACAAGAGTTCAAAGATGTGCAATGTCCATATGTTACACTCTACTGTACAGTTTCCTGCAGCAATTGTAATGTTTTGAGCTGCCCTCCCAGTTGAGGTTAAGATGGCTGGAACTTCAGAAATTAGAAACTACTCTGAAGTTACCAAATAAAAGTGGTGACAAAGATCTGAGTATTCATATGTTTAAAAGTCAGAATTAAATTGAATGCAGAATTAATTCTGCATTAGAGAAAAACTGACCTTTGATTGGCTTTGGATGTTTGCTTATGTACCACCTTCTGTTAGTTGTGAAAATCAGCAGTGTGAGATATGCAAGACACTGAAGTCTTAGTCCATGGAAGTCTCATTCAGTTTGCCACTGTAGCTACTGGGGATTTCATCACAGTTGTTCACTCATTTCTTGGCAGTTCTCTGCACTGCTGCAATCATAAAATCTAAAAGGTTTCTTTTTACAGAATAAAAATCATGGTTCTAAGGAAACTGGACTCCTTGCCCAGTTCCTTTCTATTGCTTGTCTTTCTCTTGATGGTACTCATCTGCTTTTGTTCTGCTTCTGAACATGCTTACCTGGGTAGGAATATTCATGGGTTGGGTATGCTTACCTGTCATCCTGCTTTTCAAACATGTCATTTAAGAAGTGTGAACACTCAGGATATGAGTTGCTCCAGCCATTAAACAAATCTGCTATATGAGTAAGTTCCACTTTGTGAGCTGGATAGTAGTAGTCTTGTGTCTTCAAATATAAGTCCCCTTTGTGGAAAGTAGTTCAGAAAAACCAGATGAGAATTTTGAGTTTCTTTGTCAACTGAAAACAATAATCCCCAGAAGGAAAATGGAGGTCAGATATATAGAGAGGGAACTGTCCTGCTCAGGTTCCTGTTAACATATAGTACTCCCCTTCCCATTTCCAGAACTGTAGTATCGCCCACTTGGACTTTCTATCTCTAACACTCCTTGTGCTCTATTGTTTTGCATAGTACACAGGAGGGGGAAGACCTGAGAAAGAGATTGCCCTTGAGGAGGGGACTGATTCCTCCTTGTGAAACTCCTCTTTTCCAGGGACTAACTAGCACTATGAGAAGGCTCCTGTTCTAGATAAGTCTGGAATTTTGAACTGGAGCACTCCTTGAGGTGGGAATGGCTTGCAACATTTTGTTGTACGTCCTGCTTGTAATTTAAATATTAGTCATCTTAAGCTCTCAATGAGAAGATGGGGGAAATAACTGATATTTAGCTGGCCAGATAAATACACTGGAGAGACAAGTAGCTGTTAGCGTGGTCAGTGCTTCCCTACAGTACTCACTAATTCCCCACACTGAATTAATGTGGCTTTTAGTACACACACACACACACACACACACACACACCTGGATCTAGGAACTTTCTTTGTGTTATCACCCTATTGTTCTCTTGCAAATGCACCTCTTTGAGTCAGTCTTTGCTTGCTGGCTAATTTCCTATGTAAGTGGTCATAACTTGCACTGGTCTTGCTAACTTTAAAGTGGAGAAGCTGAGTATCAATTTTCATTATAAACACTGCTGTATGTAAATGGCTTAGGAGAGTAATTTTTGCTGGACCCATGTTTTAGACAGGTATAAGAAATAAATTGCAATTTTCAGAATTTAGTCAGTTTCTAGCACTTGCCATGTAGAGTCTGTGTACCAACTTTCATGTTTTCATCAGATCACCTTGACATTATAATAATTACAGTGTTTGAGCTTTATAACAGTAGAGCATTGTTAAAGCTGTCTGCCCTCACAATATGGAACATAGCTGGGTCTGCATGGTTTCCGTTTCTTCTGCCAATATTGCAGTGCTGTGATTGGCAGGTCATGATTTTGCACTTCATTCTATTAAAGTAGGTTTTTAAATCCAGTAATTTAAAATGAAAGGGAAAAACTTGCCCCACTATGGGAAGCTTTTGCCCTGAATGGGATTTTATTAAGTATCATTATATGTGAACACTCTTATTTAAAAAACTTAATGCATTTCTTTCATGGTTATTTTCATTTTACTGTGCAACCAGCAGTATGAGGAGAATGTGATTTATGATTGTAGCATAGTTTATGTTATAAAAGCTAGCAATAAACATGGAAATGATGGTTTCGTAGTGCCTATGCAGACTGGAACAGTTGTGAAACCAATGTGTATATTATAAGGCAGCTTCTCATGCCATGCAGCAGTAAGCCTGGGTTTGTCAATGAGTGTACACTCAAACTGCAGCCAATCCCAGTTTATGGATTTGTGAATTATGGATTAGTGTATGATAATGCTTCTCTTGCATTCACACTTGGGTCCAGAAGGCATAGAGAGAGTACTAACTATGCCTCTAGCACAGGGGTAGGCAAACTGTCCCCTTTAAGAGCTGAGGGACTTCAGCCCCCAGAATCCTAGACTATTGGCCAACATCCCAGACTATTGGCCAACATGGCTGAGGCTTCTGGGAGCTGAAGTCCCTCGGCCCTTAAAGGGGACAGTTTGCCTACCCCTGCAAGAAGGCCAGCAAGGCGAACTGCTGTTACCACTTCACCTGCCTCTGTTTAACCAGTTTAGCCTGGCCCTGTCCTTCCCTCAGAGAGTTCATTACAGTCAACTATTCCGTGAGAATAGTAAAAAGAACTAGTAGCAAAATATCATAATTGCTACCTATTTATATTTGTTGTTGTGTGTCTTCATGTCATTTCTGACTTATGGCAAACCTATCATGGGTTGAGTATGTGTGACATGCCCAAGGTTATCCAATAGGTTTCCATGGCTAAGCAGGGAATCAAACCCCGATCTCCAGAGTTGTAGTCTAACGCTCAAACCACTACATCATGTTGGCTCTCCTATTTATATTAATGTAGACTAAAAAATATTAATACATTAATATGTAAAGAAATTATAGAATGGCCTAAGATGATTTTGTTACATATGGAGTAAAACTGCAATATTTGAAGGCAAATATTTCTCAAAAATATTTGAGAAATTCTCAAACTCATGAAAAATATATATCTTTTTCCTATGTGTAAGTAATGTACAGCCACAGGGGCTATACTTCTGCCCAGCAGCACAACTTACATTCCCGTGATTGGGAACCTTGGCTTTCTCAGAAGCAAATTTTTCTTTCTGGGCTCTTTGACCTACAGATAGAGGTTATCCTATACCTGCACAGAATATCTTCAGGACTTTCTCTAGTGAGTATTTTGGAGCAAGCTCTACCTCCTCCTAGAGCTCATGTTTTCACAGAGTTATTTCTCCCTCCCCCAGATCCTTTTTGACTGCCACAGTTGCAAATTTGTAAGGAATTTGTATGTCACAGCCTCTTTGGCAAACTTGTTTTCTTTTTTTCTTTTCTTGACTTTATCTGTTCTTCTTCTTGAGTTTTTGTTTTTTCTTCTAGAAGATCTCGTTGATTGCCCTGAACAATTCTTTGAAACTTTTGAGTCAAGCCAGGTGAGACTTGGAAAGTTTTGGTTTAAAAGCTGCTGTGTGGGAGAGGAGTGATAAAATGGGCCACAGAAGTTAAGCTTGAGGCAGGAGGAACTTAATGCTCCAGTGCACATTATTTCCCTGGGCCAAGTCTTTTTTCTCCACAAATTGCTGTCTGCTCTGCTTAGAAAAACAGCAGAGGTAGGATAATTTGGAATGGCAAAAGAGAGGGTTAATTCCCCCCCCCCCACATACACATTTGGCTGCACCAATGGGAGGGGTATAATTACTTCTAACTGAAAAGATAAAGGAGAGTAGAAAGTGACAATCATTCATGTCATCAGTGTAAGGTGTTTAGTGTTCTTTTCTTTCCATCATATGAGCCTTTTGTTGTGGTGGATGGAAGAGAGGATTTCTGCTGCTTACAAAATGACAAAAAGTGGCATGGTGAGGTTAGGATGGTAATCCAGGGAATGGCTTGGAGGCCCATAATGGAGTTCTGCTTATGAAATCTAGCAGATTTGGCCTGTAAAACTGTTTGGAAGACAGACTTCCTGGGAATCATATGTAAATTGCTCTGAGCAAGGTGCATGAAGACTAGAGTAGCTTTCCAATGGATTCCTATATTCAGATTCTGCCATGAAGCTTACTGTATCACTTTTAGGGCAAGAGCGTACTGCTCACACAGTTAATGTGGGAAGAATAATTAGATCTTTTGGACTTAATTTTCAGCTGATGTAGATTACATGTGAACCATTAGCCTCTTAATATACTCCAGAAGATCTTATGTTGCAATGAGGAGCCTCAAAAATTGTGTTTGTTACACTTTTGCTTTCCACCCTTGCTTGGGAGCAGTCTTATTTCTAATGTCAGAGGTGATACTCCTACCCAGCTCCAAGCTCAGGATAAAGTGAGGGGATTATCAGCTGTGGGTGGGTCTCTGAAGCACAGCATGATAAAGCAGCTTTTAGACAGACCCTCTTAAGGCTGAAGCTAAGTATGGGCCTTTGCAGACCGGCCCAAAGGGCTGGCCTGGAGGCAGAGATGGGGAGGGGCAGCCACATGCTGGCCGTCCCAACCCTGACGCCACGTGCCATTATGCATGGCATGTGGCGTCAGGACATCCTCCCAGCATAGTGTCCTGACGCGCTGTTTTGAAAGGGGAGCTAAAGAGCCGTGTACTGGCTCTTAGGGCGCCCTTTTGCTGCCCATGAAAGGAGCAGCATTTTGCCGCCCTTTCAGGGGCCGCAAAAAGGAGGACCGTGGCCGTGGCCTGGGGTAGCTGCAGCTCCGATCCACGGCTAGCAGGGACAGCCTAGAGCTGCCCGTCTGCAGCCCCCCCCCAAGCCTCCTGCCTTCTCCACCCACCCCTTGTGTCCTCATACTTTTGCCTTCCACTTTTTGCTTCTTGCCCTTCATAGTAGCAGCATTGCACAGTGCATCCTACCCCAGCTAGAAGGGTGGGGTATACTGGCAATGGGAAGCCTTTACATGGAGCTTTGGCTATTGCTTGGAAAGACAAGGGGTTGCAAAGGCCATTGGCATGCTCAGTACTAGGAGGAAGAAAGAGGAAGAAGATGCTGCTGCATTTAAATGTAGCAGGGTAGGTACTGGGGTTAGGGATGTCATGCTTCTTAGGGTAGGACCTGAAAATAATCAACCTTGATTGTTGATGAATGACTTTGCAGTGGGAGATTTAAGGTGATCAGCAGATTGTCTTTCTGGGAATAGTGTTTGCCATTACTTAGTTTCACTAGTATCCTCTGATAAGTTTCCAAAGAACTGCAGAGCATAGTTCTAAAAACCAGTTACCTGAATGAAAAATTACTTTGATGTGTGTTTGTATAAGATGTAATTGTAAAACACTTGAGAGGAACTCTGTTGGCTTCAATATGAATAAAATATTTACCACTATTTCCCTCTGCTACTCTTGGGATCTTAGTCTGCCAAAACCTGCTTTCCAAACTTTTTCCCCTTACCATCCTCGTGGTGGTGAGTAATATCAGATCAATTGCTGAAACACTGCCTGCTGGACAGAGTTGTATATACTTTTGCTACATGTGGGAATATGCACTTGAAAAATGAATTTGTTCTCAGTTCACAAATATATAACGATTAGTTTTCATGTGTGTTGTCCTGTCTGGGCTAGTGATCAAACTGGGAAACAAATTATTTTGGATACAAATTTGACAGAGTTACTTATAATCATCCTATCTGGGGAATTTAGGATTGCCAGAATTTAATAGTAATCTTGTCAGGGGTTCCAGGAGATTTCATGGCTGAATCCAAGAGCTTAGGCGTAGTGCTACCTGGAACTTCACATATGTATGTCTCAAAGCCCTCTTCAGACACAAAGAAGAGGGGTGTGTAAACTTAATTCCTGTAATGGGCAGGTAGCATGAAGCCTCCTCCACATTCATGCTTGCTATGAATTCTAGGAACCTGCAGCTCTTTTACTCTGTATAATTATAGCACTGTGATTTCATTTTAGCTGCCATGGGCTGCATCCGATGGAAACCTAGGATTGGTAGTTTTGTGTGGCTGTAGAGGATATACTTGGCAAAGAATTCCTAACATCTTTCAAACTTCAGATCCCAGGATTCCATAGGATGGTTAAAAGTGGAATCTTAGTACTAGTATGAAAGAGACCCAATCTAGAATTCTGGACTATGCCCCTTCACATTGGAGGTGGTACTTTTGCACCTAGAACAAATTGTTTTGAGCAATAAAGCAGCACGCCAAAGCAAGTGGTGCAGTGTAGTCAAGCATATATTTAAGTTGGTCATACCTCCCACCTATATAGTAGGTGATCCACTATATATTGTGAACTGTATTGTAATCATTTTAATATGTAAGTCACCTTGACTCCCAATCTGGCAGGATAATAATAGCAATATCATAATCTACAGTGGTGCAACATGAGTGTAACCTTTCTCCTTCCAGTTGTCAGAAAACCTGAAAGTAGAACATATCTAATAACATGTAATAAATAAAAAATTCCTGTTATAAGACATTGAAAAATCTGTGAAATACCTTTTAAAACAGTGCTGTAGAACAGTCTAACTCAGGGGTAGGCAACCTTTCCCTTTTTTAAGGGCCGAGGGACTTCAGCTCCCTGAAGCCTCAGCCATGTTGGCCAATAGTCCCATGTTGGCCAATAGCTCCTGGGATTTTGGGAGCTGAAGTCCCTCGGCCCTTAAAGGGGAAAGGTTGCCTACCCCTGGCTAACTGAAGAAGTTTAACTGCTGTGTGAGTGGGATGATATACTAGGTATCTGATTTAGTGAAAATATGGCAGAATACCCCTTCCGTGCTTTTTATAGCATTGTATAGTTTGACTATATTTACAAGACTGTTTGCTCTGTAACATCAGCAAGTAAGGTGTGACAGTGCTTCTGAACTTGAGTATCCTGTAAACAGAGGGGCAGACCGGGTTACATCTAGAACCACACTTCCTTTGTAACTTAATGAGTGTTCAAATGTGGTGTTCACTATTTATTCCATTACTCTCCAGCTACTGGACTTACAGTTATGGGCTGCATGCTTGACACTGTGACACTGTGATGGAATGTACATCTGAAGCTGCAGCTGGGAATACTCTTGAGTGTTGTGTGACAGAGGGTAGCATTTCAAGAGTAACGTCATTAACTTCAAGTAAATACAGTATTAGAAATAGTCTTCCTAAAGGCTGCCCAGTAATGTTGTCTTGTACTCTGTGACTGTTTCTCTCCATTGGGCTATCACCTTGTAACATGCAGCCCACTGGAAACTCTCCTTCCTCATATTACTAGTAAAGCATGAACTGTGTTTCTTTGATTCTGTGATGTATAGAATTATATAATATAGGCCCATATAATTCTACTACAAGCTGCACCCTTGTCTTCACTGAGTTTTTGGCTGCCTGCTATCTGGTTTAAATTACTTCACGTGATTTTTAGGATTTATGTTGATTTTATTGATGTTTAGTTTAATACTTTTTTAAAGGGGAGAGTGGGTTTTGGGGAGCGGGGTATAAATAATAATTATTATTATTATTATTATTATTATTATACTCATGCTTCTGGCTTCTGTGCGTAGCTTCTATCAGATGGTGGGTAATAATTCCCTTATCTCCCGAAGTCTATTTCTTTCAGTGTTCTCCTTTCCCTGATGGTTGTTTATTTGTTCAGTATTTGAGGTCAGTGAAAAACCTGATTCTCATTTCCCATTTTTTTTAAAAAATGTGCATATAAACGCTGAGCATCGAATAACATTATGTGATTCAACACCCTCATTGAGACATATTGCACAACTGAAAACACTGGTGCCAGTTGGCTCCTCCTCTCTTTTTAGGTCTCACTGTGAAGAAAGTTCTAGCTATGGGATCAGGGGAATTGGAAAGTGAGTATGCAGAGAGTTAAAGATTCTTGCCAGG